ATTCATAACAACATGTACAAGAATGTCGTTTTTGATAAAAGTTAAAAATAATCATAAATACATAAAAATGTGTATATTGTCGAAAATTCCTTTTTCCACAATATAGCTATTTATGCCATGTTATAATGCTTATTACCTAAACAATAATGAATTTTTTTTAAACATTAAAGTATATTTAATCTCATCTCCCTAATAGCTGTCGCAATCTGTTAATTCCAACAAAATCAACTAGCGTTTATGAAATAGCAATAGTCGAGTTTAGTAATATAAAGGGAGATAACTTGCCACAAAATATAAAAATATATTTACATTTTTTAGGAAAAGAGAGAAATGCACTAATTAGCATAATTACACGTATACTTCGGGTTATGTCGTTTCGAGTTAAGTCGTTCTAGATTATACGTCATTTATCAAAAAAAATATATGGAAAAATAAAAATCAAGTTTAAGTCATTTTATTCGACTTTATGTCTGTCCATCATAAATATTGAAGTCATAATATCAGTAGAAAAGTGTTAAAAGCACATAAAATCATTTTACTGTACAATAAATAAGAATAAAAGTATATATAATCATATCAAAATACATACATTTACAGTAAATGTTAATATAATCATCATAAATCCTAGAGAACAAAATATGAAAACCTGTGACTGTGGAGTCTGTCTATATTTCTGGGATGAGGTATTATTTACATTATTTGGACTATTGTCCTCATCTTTGTCAGCATATTTATCACAACGTTTTGGCCGTTGTATGCTCCGGCCTTCTTCAGGTGGTTGGAATGTCGAACTGAACCCTTTATTTCGCTCACCGGGGTAGACTGTTCTAGTTCCACATGCTATGTTTGATGGATGTCAGTTATCAGTTATCTCCTGCTAATTTCCCTCTGAAAGTTCTCTACTGCCTTAACAGAATATTGAACTCAAACTCCTCATCCACTGTGCCTGGCACAGTGGATAAAACGTTGGTTAGATCCAGTGACAGGACCCAAAGAGTGTGAGTTCAATACCCGTTTAAGGCAGTGGAGAACTTTCAGGAAAATTAACAGGAGATAACTGATAACTGACATCCATTAAACATGGCAAGAACTAGAACAGTTCATGTCCCCAGTGAGCGAAATTTCAGTTCTTTTCCAACCACCTGAAGAAGGCTAGAGCGCATTTTCCGGAAACGTTGTGATAAATATGGCTCTGTGACTGTGTTGTCATCTTATTTAGTGGCCTTTAAGAGCTCAATATAGGTGTTTTCCACAGTAGTTCCAATATCTACGATTTGTTGCTATTGTCAGCGCCACTTGTGATTCCCATGAAATTGAAATCCAGTTTAGTTTAGGCATATGCATGGTATACATCTGCTTATCACTTACTCTCTAATTCGTTTGTGACTTTATATTTTGCCCCAATGGCTTCTAAGAAAATTCCTACTGCAATTGCTAAGCATCATGCTACAACACTGGATGATAAACTTACTATGATAAAACACCATGTAAAAGATGAAAAGATTATACCAATTTCTCAATCTTTTGGAATGAGTAAGATAATTGTATCGATGATTGTTCACAATAAGGATAAGATTTTGGCACTTATCAAATCTGATGCCCCAGGGATGAAGAATACTGTAATCAATAAGAGGAAAAAATCTTTGAAGAGATGGAACAACTTCTTTCACTTTGGATTGATAGGGTGAATCATAAGTGTGCTGTTATTAGTCAAGAAATCATTCGAGCAAAAGTGTCATCTTTGTTTGAGGAACTGAACAAAAAATACCCTGATGAGAAAGATGTAGAGTTTAAAGTGAGTCAAGGCTGTTTTACAAAATTTAAAGAACAAAGAAGTTATCACTATCAAGAAGCAAAGTGAAAGTGCATCAGCTGACAAAAAAGCAGCAGTCAATTTTCCTAAAGCATTGGCTAAGATAATCGAAGAAAACAGGTTTCTTCTTGAACAGATTTTTAACATTGATGAAACTGGATTATATTGGAAAAAATTGCCAGACCGTTCTTTCATTGCTAATGCTAAGTGTAAGGCTATATCTCTGATAAATTATTTTATTCAGAATACTGTACGTACATATCATAAATACTGTAATGTGCAATGGTGAGTGCTTATTTGCCATTTATAGTGTGGTTATTTCATTTTTCAACCTAAGTCATGACCTCTGAATGACATAGGGTGAGATGTACTTGTATTTGACACAATAGTATTTCTGCTGTCATAATAGTTTTTTTTTTTTTTTTTAGAAGTTATGAATTTTTAACCTAAAATAACAATTAAAAAATACATTTGCTCAATTTTTATTGCTGTGTAATTAGCTCTTCACTCCTGAACTTTTTGTGTTTTGCCATTAAAAAAAATCTTAAATATAAATGTTTTACTCTGAAATTTTCCTTAAATTTTTTTTATGCGGAAACAACTTTCAATGTTGGCTCTTTTCTACTTTTGTAAAGTCTAAAAGATAGATAAATTCACAAAATTAAAATAAATTAGTTTGCTTGCATAAGACTAAAAAAACATGACATTTATAGTAAATCTACATTGAAATTGAAGATACATGTTTCCAATATTTCTAGTTATTAGTCTACAAATAAGTGAAAAGTAAGGATAGTTTAAAAAAATAATAATGTAAAGATGACTTCTATTTTGAACAAACTTGCAGATAACAACCATGTAAACATTCTTATATTTTTATAAAATATCCCAAAATAAATGTCAAGAAATACAGTATAAAAATCTCTATTGTATTATACCACAAACTAGATCATTGAGGTAGTCTATTAGAAAAACATAATCAAACTATCAAAAGGCAACAAAGTAAAAATAGTTCTTTCTCAATGAAAAGGCTTCAATCAAAACAGGTTACAGTAGACATGATTAAATACAACTCAAGAATAAGAACACTATTATAAAATGTAATAAATATGGAATTATCAAATTTATGTAATAAAAATATAACATTTTAAATTTTTAAAAATTAACTTAATAGAAAAAACACTGGAAAACCAATTTTTTTAGGAGATCAATTCTCTACCACTCAACAAATTCTACGTAAGATGATTGGCTAATTAAAATCCCTATAAAAGTGTAAAAAATACATACTTTATATCTACAAAGAAGAAACAAAATAAAACTCAATCAAATTAAGGAAATATGCCTCTTCATAACATTAATTTCTAAGTTACAAATTTTACTTATGTAGAAATAAATGACTAACTTTTGATCAAGAATACAAAATTGAGAAAACTTAAAGAAATTTTTGCATTGGAAATTAGTTTTATGAAGAATTTATATTAATAATTATACAATTATTTTCATGATCATTATTATACTCTCGTTTAAAGATTTAAACGAATGCTAGTGATTCAAGGGAGATAACTTGCTTACAGAAACGAAGTAGTATTGAGTTTGACAGGAGATAGAAAATTTAAATTTGAAATTTTTATATAATTCTAATGAGCATTCACACTTGTTAAATTATTTTATACAAAGTTGGGAAAGATATTAGAATAACCCAGAATACTGGGATCAAACCGGCCGCATATGGATATAAAATGAACTGAGTAACTATACACAAAGAAAGAGCAGCATAAGACAATGATGCATCTTCTCACCAAATTTATTTAAGCTATATACAACAAGACAATCCTAACTAGAAGGCTTACCACGATTTATCATTGGTGGGCACAATCTTAGCAACATAAGATATGCAGATGACACTGTGTTGATAGCAGATGGAGAAAGAAAACCGCAGGAATTCCTAGACAAGGTAGAAAAGGATAGTAAGAAGAAAGGACTCACCATCAGTTGTAAGAAGAGACAATGTAAGGTTTTTCAGTAAAAAGAACAGCCCAAGGCATGAGCTACAAATTGTAAATATCAAAATCAAGCAGGTACAGAAATTTAACTATCTGGAAAAGGTTTCAACAGACAATGGGAAACACTGGAATAGTGACAGATGCTTTCCAAAAGCTAAAGAATTTTAAAAATGAAAATTTCATTAGAAGGCGGAAAAAATGTACTGAACTGTTATGTAATATCACTCCTTTTATGTGGCAGTAAATGCTGGATAATTTCCTCACAGATGAAGAGGAGATTTGAGGCAAGAGAGATGTGATTCTACAGAAGGATACTGAGAATATCATGGATGGAACATGTGAATAAGGATGAGGTTTTACAGAAAATGGAAACAAAAAAGACACTTGTACTTAAATCAGAAAGAGACAGTTGAAGAATGTGACACTCACAGCACATATTGGAGGCAAAGGGAGATATTGAGTAACTTACCCAACAAACTTGTGTAAATGGATAGCAGAATAGGGACTAGGCAGGATAGTAAGGAGACAAACATTACTTAGAGCTACAAAGGATAAGAAGTTGTGGAGATCACCAGCTTTCTGAAGAGACATAGCACAAAATAAGAATTACAGTACAGAATCACCAGATATCAATAAAAGTGGAATGAACCCAGTCTAGATATAACAGAATATTCAAGTAAACTCATGTAATTCATAATTTCAACACTATCCATGGAGATTCCAACATTTATAAAATGTTACTTCAAAAAACATATGCAAACATTTTAAAACTAATAATTACTTAATTTTAAAGCTAAAACAGTCTTGATCTGAAATAATGCTACCCAAGAATAACATTGTCAACAATTACCATTTTACTGCCTACAATTTAAACAGATTCAATATCCTTCAATATAGTAACATAAGAATTTCTAAAGTGCATTTCTAGAAATTCAAATATTTATAAATAAAACATTTGATGATAAATGAAACTAAATATCTAAGCAAAGTATTAACTGCAAAAAACAAAAAACAAGTAGACGTTTTTATCATTTGTTTTCTAACAGAGAAAGAAATGAGAAAAAAGCTTTCAGTGATAAACAAATTTCTCTTTTTCCAAGCACAGTCTGCTAAACTGACAGCATTATATTGGTTTTATTTTATCAATGACAGAAATACATTGAAAACAGCAAGAAGAATACCATTTTTTAAGAGACAGTAAAGAGTACATGAAGCTTACATAAAAATAAGGACAAAATTAAAGGGAGGCAACCGAGGAAAGAAGAAATGAGTGACTATCGATTAAAAAGATATAGTGCATGGTGTGCAAAATGAACAGCCAAAGATATGGGTTAGACATCGGGAATTCCAAAATTAAACAAGTGTGGAAAGTCAACGATCTGGGTAGTATAATAACAGATATTCAAAGGAATACAAGAAGAGCAAAAAGATAATTTTCACAAATTAAGGTACTTAGAAATAAAAGAAAAAGAACATTAGAAAAAAAACAGTAATAGACAAGCATGTGATGTCTAACGTCCTATAGAGAGAGTGAATGACAGACAATTTCATAACTGAAGAAAAAAACTTGATGTATCAGAGATTTGGTTTAACCAACAAATGTTAGGAATGTAATGAATAGAGAATTTTAAGAAGTTTTAAAGGGAATAGAATACACAAAGAAACTACTGATATTATGATGCGGGAACATAAAGAAAGAAGGCTTCGAGAGTTTAACACTCACTACTCACTGAAGGCAAGAAAAGCAGCAAATAACCTAAATGGAAACTATGTACAAATAAATGGAAGAAAATTACAAAAAAAAAAACAAAAAAAAACAAAAAGGGGTTATCAAGAGTAAATATTGATGAAAGTAACAAAAGAAGATGTAGAAAGATATCATTGGTTACATCTTTAAAGGAATACAGCACACAGCTAAGGAGAAAGAATATCCAGAATGCTTCTGCTTTACTAGAGAAGTAATTTTTAATTCTTGGTAGGTTTATATTTTGTCCTGTTCCATTCACTCAACAGACTCACAAAATCTTTAAGACAACTGATAAAGATGGTTTGAAAGAACATTGTAAGAAGAAAATTGCTGATCGATTGTAAACTGATTATAAACTCTACCAAAAGAACCACTGAAAAACAAAAAAAAATACAATTCCAAAAATTAAAATTAGTCAACCAGATCACCAGTAAAAAAAAAAAAAAAAAAAAAAAAAAAAAAAAAAAAAAAATAAAATAAAATAAAATAATAAATAAATAAATAAAAGAAACATGACTGATTACTATTAAAATAGCAACTTTTTATTTATTCATTAAAAACATCTTTGTGGACCGTCTAATTTTTATTAAAATATTGAAAGAATCTTATATGCAATATATATATATATATTTTTAAGATTTTTATATTTAACATTCTTTTATAGATACAAATATTTAAGTAAATGCTCTGTTTATAATAAATAGTATTAAACAACATTTTACAGGCCGGTAAATGTTGTTTAATACTGTTTATTATAAACGGAGCATTTACTTAAATATTTGTATCTATAAAAAGAATGTTAAACATAAAAATGTCTTAAAATAATTCAGACTTTGTCCATTTCATAGTGTGTGAGATATATATTACACAGACAGGTGGGTATGTTTGCATACATATGAATATCAACTGAAACATTAGTACTGCTCCTCAAGTATAATAGTATTAAAGAAAAACAAACATGTAAGGTTATCAAAAATACCAAACAACTTAAAATGAAATCTAATATTTTTTTGTTAAATATAATTTATAATTCATTTTGTTTATATAAAACTATGTTTTAGCTAACACAAATGCAGATAGATCTTATACAATTTACAGATAAGTCAATGGAAATCATTCTCATCAATTTTATAGTTGTTGTAAACTTTTATTCTATATTATAAAGAAAGTGAAAGAAAAACTGCTGAGCATATTGAGTTCTCTTCAGGATTAACATCAATTCTATGTTTCTTTTTTAATAGTTAAGGTCAATATGTCTAATAGCAGATATTTTAGAAGTTTCCACTGAATCAGGTTAAACACACTGGGTGACATACTCAGATAATATTGCTTATAAGTAACAGCTTTGTAAAGGATATCCAAAAATTGAGACGATTCCCAAAAGATAATAATTGATTAGGTATATGCTTTATAGGAAATAAATAATCAATTATATAGCAAAACTGATGTTCTTTTCTATATGCACATCTATATTACCAAAAATTAGAGGATATGGTGAAACATAATATATACTTGAATCATACTGGAATTAAAACTTATAAACAACAACTAATATTGTTATACAGTTTTAAAAAGTATAAACATGAATTTTTATAAGAAATCCAAAAATTATAACCATTCTGAAAAAATATTATCAGACATAAAATGTTTTAATGATGATTTTATTACAATTTTCCAAAAAAGTACAAAAGACAGTTTTTCTAAGTTGTTTGACATTCTTACTCCATTTGTTATTGCAAATGGTTTTGATGAAAAAAAAAAATAAAAAAATAAAGATAAACTATCAAATGCTGTCAGAAATTTGAAAGTATATTTATATGAGGCATGAAATCCATAATCCAAAGAGAAAATATTAATTTCAATAAAGACAAAACACCAACAAATATTCAAGACCATATATATAAAAGCAACCATGAAGTTATTTTAAATTTCCATTTTAACAACAGACTCTGAACTAAAAGATCAAGATAATGTCAAAATGATTCTGATTTGTTTTTTATTTTTCCTTTTAGCTCATAACTTACCTCACTTTTTAAAAACAATCTTTAAAAATTGATATCTTGTGTGCAAAATATAGCAAGAATAAAAATGTAGCTGTAAAACTAGTAAAATAATCAGATGAAATGACCAGCAACTTCCATAGCAACACACACCACTAAAAAAGTTAGGCAAAAATTGTTTGAAACCCACAAGAAAAAAAAAAAAAAAACTGTTTAGCATCTTAACCAAAAACTTTAAAAAAAATCCATGATCATATAGCCCACAGATACTTACCTCTAACTTTTTGCTAAGATGCTTTGAAACCAAAAATAAAAAGACAGAAAAGATTTTCAAGTCTTCTCATGAATAAAATTTTAAACCAAAATCAGAAAATATAGTAATACATGTAAGGATGGAGTGACAGATTAACAAATTTTAATAGTCAAATCATCATTTTAAAAATATTTAGGTAGAGAGGTTTAATTTAGATAATTTGAAATCAATTTCATCCAATCAATTTTAAAACGCTTTATTGTCTGGCATGGGGTGTAATGATTAAATAATTTTTTTTTTAAATGCAACATCTTAAAAGTTTATCAATGTCATCAGTTGCTATTTAATTGATAAAACAATAAATCAGCCTAAGACTTTTTTTTGCTTTCATCTGATCATCTTTGTATTCTATCTTTTAAAATTTTATTTTCTATAATAACAATATAACAGCAAAGATGAAATAGTATTAACAACATTCACTTTGAATTAAGTTTCTATAAGGTCATTTATTTATTAAAAGAGTAGTCTGCAGATAAGACAAGTAATTAAAAACAGTTTTCTCTAGCATATCATCAGAAACACCACAATCTCAGCTTAACATGTATTTAGTCATAACATATGTGGATACCTTTCCTGAAATGTTATCTAATGTATCATTTAGTGCCAAGAATCAATTTGGCATAACAACAATCTTGCAATGTATTCTTTCTCAAATCTCTTTACCTATACAAATGTATTTTACTTGGCAGAAGTCCCTAAGTCATAGTGTTGTATCAAGAATAAAGAAGTAAAAATCAATTAATGAACAAGAAATTCAATTGAAATATGACATGAAAAAGGTAAGCTGTGGAAAAAAAAAAGTGGGGTGGTCAAAAAGCAAAGAAAAATGCCAAATAACAAAAGCTTTGCAGCACAAAAACACATCTTGCTTTCAAAACTCAGGAGTATCCACAGAAGGCAAGTTAAAAAAAATAGAAAGGGAAAATTTAACATCAAATTTACAAATAGACACTTCAATTTTATTTCTTTTTTTAGTTGTTAGAATAAAGAAAATGACATCAACTGCACATACCACATACTCCCTTTCATCCATCCACACAATGAAAACACTAGCATCAAATAATGAAGGCACAGCAACAAAAAAGGTACCTACCTGTGCAACCGTCTGTTCACCTAAAGGAATATCATCAGACTTGATAGCAACTCTCTGAACAATTGCAGAGGGATCTGCTTCCAAAATAATTCTAAACAAATTAAAAGAGTAGAGATTAATATATATATAGATATATATATATATATATATATATAGCTACATGTAATCAGTTGCTAATAAAGTCATAAATGTACAAATATATTCCAAATGCAAAAATTGAGGGAGACAATTTTGAGAGGAAAATTTTTATTCTAGTATTGCTTTTCATGAACCAAAGAAAAAAAGACAGGAAAATATTTATTTCCGATTGCATAGTATGAAACATACGAAAAGAATTCATAAGAAATCGTGAAGGAAAAGAAATTATAAAATTAACAAAGCAATACAGTCTTACAGAATACCAAGTAGTTTTAGTTATTGTAGATGAGTATTGGTAAACTTAGGAAAATAACCCACCGACAGTCAATCAAAATATAGAAATAGTAAGATTAAGAATAAAATTAAGTAAGATTAAAAATAAAAGTTGTTAGATTAATAAAACATGACAGCTAAAAGTTTGTTTACAAAACCTAATGGAAAAACTTTTTTCTCTTTGCTCTGCTTAAGAAAAGTTAAGGACAAAAATTTTATTTGCCAAAACAATTCAACAGTAAATTTTGAATCCTAACCGAGATATTCAATGGAAACTAATTAAAAGATAAAATTTAATTTATTGATATTAAAAATACTAAAAAAGTCAATAAAAAAAATGAAATAAGAAAAATGAAGGCAAGTGGAACAACATAAGTATGGATGAGAATGAGATTAAAAAAATAAAAATAAAAAGAGGATGCTAAGCTTAAAGAAGATTATAAAAATACAAAGACATGTATATTTATGTCTGTTAAAGCTAACAATGATTTAAAAGTTAATAAAATTAAATAAGATGTAAAAAAGATAGTAAATATATAATTTTTTATTACATTATGCACAAAAGAACATGAATTGTTATACACTCACCATTTCGTAGACAAAGAAATTCTGAAAACTTACCCTTCATCACAGATTTCATCAACTGCTAAGAACACAGCATCCAGATTCTCTAGCAAAGCTCGGCGTTCAACATTTTTTCTTAACATCTGATTCACAGCATCATATAATGCATTCAGTACACTGGCAAGAATTAACTGTAAAATTAAAAATGTCAATACAGAAATTAGTACAAAGAAGCAAGATCAGCTTTACTTTAAATATGAATCAACTCTAGAGAATAAATTAATTTTAACAGACTGCAGCTGACAACAGAGTCCATCTTTTCTAAAACTGGACACTTTTCCATAACAATTCTAAAAAAAAAAAAAAACAGAATCTTAAATCAGTTTATCTTAAGTGAGAGGATTCTTTGAGGATTAGAAAACCTACCAGGATTATTAGCACACATAATCTAAACAACATACACTACACAGATGATACTGTGTTGATAGTAGATACAGAAGAAAAAACTGAAAATACTATTGCACACAGTAATTGATGAAAGTAAGAAATGACTAACTATTAATTGTAACAATACAATGCATGGTTATCAGCAAAAGTGACAGTCTAAAATGTGAGTTACATATTGAGGATGTCGATATCAAACAAGTGTAGAAATTTAATCATCTAGGTACATGTGATATAGAAAATTAAAGATACATAAGAATAGCAAATAATGTTTTCCAGAAACTGAGAAAGGAACTAAAAGGATAAAAACAAAAAATGTCCCTTAGAAACAAAGAAAAGTACAATGGATTGCCATAATAGATGAAGAAAAGATTTGAAGTGACAGAAATGTAGTTCTACTGAAAAGTGTTCAGAATACTATAGACCAGTGGTTCCTTTTTTTTTTGCCCAATGCACCCTTTTGACCATGTCAGAAGGTCACCTACACTACTTCCAAGATTGTCCAACTCAAATGGTGCATTCCAAATAATATACATATATTATTGAAAATCTTCATTCTTTTCTATATTAGTACACATACATTTACATGGATTATTTTTATAGAGGAGTTTTACAAATTTAGTCACAATATAAAATGTTGATGGATTTTAAATTTGAATACATGTACAGTAATTTGTTTTAATTCATAACTAATTATTAAGTAAATAAACTGAAGCATACCTCAATAAACAAAAAGTTCAATAGGATGCCAGTGTATTGTAATTCAATAAAAGGTCAGAGCATTTAAATCAATATTATTCTGATGAAGATGACAGTCAATGAGAAACTTGTGAGAAAGTAAAAGTTTTCTCTCTCCCCTGCTGAAATCTGGGAATTCCACACCTGGTTGAGAACACCTTGTATAGACAGAATATTTGAGAAATGGAGGAGTTTTAAGAATATGAGATACAAAAAAAAAAAAATGATGCTACCATTAAGAAACAGACAGCTGACACTGAGGACAAATAAGAAAAGAAAACCTGGAAAATTTAATCCTCAATGGGCAAATCAAAGGCAAGAAATGAAGTTGATAAGTTTGGATGGCAGAACAAGTATCACAAAAACAAAGAGTTAAAAGCAACAAACGAGAGGAAGCTGTGAAGAGTCATGACTAACCACATTTTGAAGAGAGGGAGAGGAACTGCAATCTACTGACCTCATTTTCCTGTGAACTGCCTATGACATAAAAATAAAGATCCACATTGCTTTTGTAAACACAGGTCAAGCCTTCAAGCATTATGATTTCAGCTGTAAGAAATAAAATGAAAATTGCTTTGTATATCATTTATAATTATCACAAAATACCAAAATAATTAACAACTTTTATTATTAAAAAAAAATAAAAATCCATACCTAATATTAAAACCTAAAAATATTACATTCTGTTTAAATATAGCAAAATGATAGAAAAATAAAATTCACTCTGATTACAATTTTTTAAAATTCTGATCAGAGACTACAAACAAAATTACTTTTAATTTGAATTTTTTTAACTGGAGACTTGACTACTTATCAATACACTATCCCTGGACATTTTGGGTAAATTTAATTGAAGGAGTGCTGTAAAGTTCTCAGCCCAATTCACATTTGATCAAATATCAGATTTTGGAGCAAAAGATTCTTAGTGAAGCGAGGAACTTTTCAGTACCCCTTGTATTTCCAAACTGCTTGTGTAGTAGAAGAAATCAACAATAAAGAGAAGCAAATGCTCAATACAAATTTGCTCACATGAACAGGTTTATTCAACTTATATATTAGGCTGTCATTCTTTTCAATTATTACATGTACTGGTAACCAATAAAACAAGCTCAATGAGTTAAACAACTTTAAATCAGACTCAATATAAATCTATTTTACTGAAGAATACAAAATTAACCAGATTCATTTTTTTAGAATGGTTAAAATAATCTATGTTGATAGTCATTATTAATTTATTTCCCTTAGATCATCAGCCCATATTGAGCACTTCATTTTCATTGAAATGCATTTTTGCTTACAATAGATTAATGTCATTTTTAGTCCTATTTAGGAATATATGTGTGCATCTTATTTCAATTTATACATTAGTTACATTCATTTAATAATGTCAAATCAGCAGACTTACCATTAGCTCTATATGTTTTGTTGAAAAGATTTTTTTCAAAATCTTTTTGTTCTTTCACAGTTGCAAATGTCTTGTCATAATACTGAAATGAAGAGGAAAAACTAAGAAACAATCAAAGTTGTCTTATTCAAAATGCAATCCAGACAATTTATGGTTAAATCAAAATATTGTTAGTGTTTATTGTAATATCATTAATGATTTAAATGCAAACTTAACCAAACTAAAAAAAAATAATCTACCATCTTACATTTACATAATACAAAAAGCAGTAAAAATTCCTGACTCCAAACAGTTACTGCTCTTACCTCTGACCTGGAGCTCTTTATAGTAATGGACTAGTTCATATAGTCACCCAGGTTGTACTATTTATTCCACAACATCCCCACTTTTGAGATTAATACTTTTATAAACATTTTATTTTTTTATTAGTATTAGTATCTACCGCTCCTCTCTCTGGAGAGTTTACCAACATATTTGACTTAGCATTTCTGTCTCACTTTCAGCTCTTCTTCAGTACACTTTCTTTTTCTGAAACTTGTCATTGTAGGTTCCACGACTTGTTATGGTGATGACATATTGAAAACACATCATATAGCATTTTTATCACTTCTTCCAATCTTTCAGGTCTTTCATCAATAGACCATTTTTCAATTGATTATGGTGCCTTTTATGTTCAAATCTTCTCCTTTTTACCATGTAAATCAATTTCCTGATTCTTGCTGACATTATCCAGTATTCCCATGTTTTTTTTTGCCATACTTATATGTCCTAAAGAACACTTTATCACCAATCTTGAAATTTTTAGTGTTACTTTTGTTAACAATTCATGTTTTTCTTAGTAACAACTTGTCAAACACTGATTTTACTCTTCTAGCAAACATTAATTCTGCCGGCAACATATGTGATGGTGTATTGGGGTTAGGTGTTACTCAGTCAACTCTCAGAAAATTTTGAAAATTTTTTGCATTGAAAAATTACAAGTAAATTTTTCCAAAATAAATATTCATTGTAGATTTTTTTTCCCTTTCAAATCTGAAAGAAAATAATGTGTCTTATTCGATTGTGCAAGCACCAACTCTCAGTAAAATTATATTGAGTTTTATTGAATTATTTTTGTAAGGTTTCAAGACAAATTTTCTGATTAGATATTGCAAAAATTAATTTAAAGTAATATCTTCAGGAATTTTTCTTTATGAAACAATTAAAAATATTTGTCATCACCTCCGATTTTAAAAGTATTCATGATGTATCAAAATAGGGGGATAACTGACCCCATCCCCAAACTTTTTCTAAAAATAAGATATCCTATTCAGTGCACATTCAATCATTAATAAGAGCTGAAAATTTCATTTGAACTAGATAATTCCCTGATTTGGGGGGAATTTTTTAAAATGGTAGCGGGTTTTTTTTGTTTGTTTGTTTTTTTTTTTGAAAAAATGCATCCATTTTGGTGGTACCTATTACTAATATGAGACATTACATATATTTTATTAATATCAAATAGTAAGATAAATAAAAGATTAACAGAATTTACTTTTTATATGTTTAAAATCTATCAAAATACTAGAATATTTCTAGCAAAATATCACCCTCAGGCACAATACACTGCTCTTTTAATATAATTACAAGAAGAATTTCAGTAAAAAAACTTATTCATAAAATTATATGAGGAGGATACTGAAAAGTTTTCCATACAACTAACTTCCCAAAACCTGGTTAAATTACTAAACATCATATGATTATTTTTTTTTCTAATCCTCTCTAGGTGGAGGCAATAACTTTTCAGTATCTCACTGGAAATATAAAAAAAAATTCAAGTGCCAAATTTTATTAATAAAAAAACGGATGAAAACCCATTAGAACAGATCTTGGAGAAATGCCTCCCCAGTTGACTATGTCTTCAGGGGTGTTGCTATACTTACCGCACATGGCCAATTGCAGGTTAGTGAGACTATTTAACCCATATTTGAGGGGTTTGAATTTAGAGTTATCCTTCTAGACCAGTTACCACCCAAGGATACAGTCTGGACTGCTATTTACCTATAACTGGGGGAAGAAATGGATTCATACCTTTTCCCAAGGGTATTAGCACTTAAGTAAATGTAATGAACTCAATTGGAATTTGAACACAGCTCTTCCATTCCTCAATCTGTGCTGTTATCCATTATACCACTGTGCATCCATGAAAGATCAAGATTTAACAAAGAATATTGAGAAATTTCCTGAATTGTGGTTGTAAGGGCACCACATATACTGCAGTAATACTGATGTTTTCTGAGTAAGATAGTCTAATGGTTTTGAATTTAGAGTTTTTCCTTCACATAGGCTGGTTGCCATCCAAGGCTATAGGACCCAGTTTGTTCTGCTGCTTACCGAAAGGTCAGGGGAGAAGAGATGGATTCATATCTTTCCCAAGGGTATTTGCACATAAGTGAATCTAATGAACTCAATTGAAATTCAAACTCTGCTCTTCAGTTCCTCAATTTGAGCTGCAATCCATTACTCCACCATGCCTCTTAAAAGTGACATCAAAGTATAATATAAATGGAAATGTAATATAAATACTTTATAATGTTACACACACACACATATAGAGAAAGAGAGGAGAGAGAGAATTTTATATTATAAATAATATAAAATCCAAATAAATAATAATTACTAACAAAAAAATCATGTCAAAATTCTTGCAGTGTTAAATTAAATTGTTTGTTATTTAGCTTTACAAGTGTTTCATAGAAATGAAAATTTACCCCAGGAATCTTCTTACTTTGGGAGACAGGCAGACACAGACTCACTAAACACACAGACAGTTGGACACACACAACAAACTAAAATTTGAATTTTCATACAAATTTATTTATATTTACATGCTTCCAGTAACCTGGGAACCATTTTAAAATTTTTGGTTGAATAGTACTCTGATCAAATACAGTTTTAGTTAAGAGATTATTAAAATTAATTTATTAGCAAAAATATAACACAACTTGTAGCAATAAATGTAAATGTTTTTCTCTTACAGTAGATTTGTGTGGTTTCAGGTAGAAGCACCTCTGACAGAGGAATATTCATAATCCTTTGGTAGTAGTTCATCCATGTTGGATCTCACTCAGCACCCAACTCTCACCTGTAGCTCCAAATCTGTTGCATGCAGTAATGACCACATCCCAGTAAACCACTCCAACTGGCAGGCAAACCAGGTGAGGGTAGTCAATAGGTCTAAGCCTCCTGATAATTTTAGATCTGTCAGCCCTATTGCATATGAAGGCCTATTCCAGGGGAGTAGATGGATAAGATCTCTTACAGATACAATGACTATGAATGCAGTGTTAGTAAGTACCATAGAGCATGGATGTGACACGTAGATGTCCTGGTCATCTACTGAAGTCTGGAAGTGTCCAGCGGTAACAGTTCTTAATACCACTGAATAAAGATCCCCAGGGGTTGTGAAAGTTTGATTACTTCAGTGCAACAATTTCTCATTATGAATTCTTTGTGCATATGTCTGTTTTGGAAATTGATCCAGATCAAACGATAAATTGATAAATAAAGGCTTCTTTAAACATGAAGGACAACCATGATGATGAAATACAATTTGAAAGGGATAGCAAGAATTTTTAAGTCTCCTTTGTGGCGGTACCTAATATAAAGGGTGTTTCAATAACTTGGAGCGATTTTAAATGTGAATTAAGTTTAAGCGTCTAATGATTTTTTATTTTTCTTTCAGATTTAACAAATTAAGTCTTTTCCAATTTCAACCATGAAAAGATTAACAATCAAACAACAAAGTTATCGAAGCCTATTACAAAAATGGACACTAAACAGAAATGCAATGAGAAGTTCCCAGGTTGCATCATCTCTCGAAACAGTGAAATCAATTGGCCACCATGATCATGTGACTTGACGCCTTTAGATTTCTTCCTTTGGGGTCATCCCAAAAGTAAGGTCTATGCCAACAAGCCACCAACAATTTAACAGCTGAAGGATAACATAATAAGGCATATTGGTGAGCTAGAGGAGCAACTATGCAGAGACGTCATCAAAAATTTTGACCATCTAGTGGGGTGGTGTCGCCAAAGCCATGGCGGACATTTGGGCAACATTATTTTTCACACATAATTGCCATGACTTATATAACTTATAACAAATAAATTTTCACCAATAACACTGATTTATTTACTGCCGAGTTTGATCCATCTTAATGAAACACCCTTTAGAAAATAATACACATGTTCTTCCGAGTTATAAATTGAGGATAGCATTATAAATATGTTACTGGCTATCATAAATAATTCACTTAACTATGAAGAAATAAATGTAGTGATAACTTATATTTTCTCATCAAAATAAAGAAGCAGAAGTGAGTGTAACAAAGTTTAAGAGTTTGTAGAGAATGTTTTCCTATCACTTTTCTAGTTTAAAATTAAATAAACAAATTAGGTACTTGTTTAAAATAATGGTCCAAAATAAAATGTGATACTAATATGACAAATAAATAGGTTTTATATTATTATTGTCAAAATTAAAAGCACAGACCCAAGTTTTTTCATCACAGACAGAAATAAAATACACTGAAAGTTTCAGTTTTAAAGTTCAATATGAAATTCTTTTATTTTTGTGAATCCTTCACAAAACCACTTGGAACTATGTCTGCAATGTTAGTAAAAATATGAATGTAACATCAGCATATACAACATAATATTCTATTTGTGGACCATTCTTTCAGGTAAGTATCTAAAAGTGAGTTAGACTCATGGAAATTTCATGAATGTTGACAATTAAGATTATCCATTCTTACCTCTGCTTTTCTTTCACCCATTGCCTGTATCTTCTCATTCTCTCCCTTATCCCTTCCAATTTTTGTTGCTTATGTTTTTATATAAATCCTATACAAACATGGATTAGTTTCAAATGCAAAAAGGAATAAAGAATAAATATATATATATATATATATATATATATATATATATATATATATATATATATATATATATAGAGAGAGAGAGAGAAGAGAGAAAGAGGGGATATTATTTTCCATGAAAATAGAATGGCTGACTTGAAACCAAAATTGCGATATTGAAATGGAAATTTTCTTTTTACTAACAATCAGATTTGTGAATTGCCATTTTTATTTGTTATTATGTTTGCCTTTCCTAAATCATTCATCCTTGAATAGACATTAAAGGATAAAGTTAGTAATGTTTTAATACGTTCCCCTTACCTACCATCTCCCTACAGTTTACAGTATTTAGGAACCAAGTTTTACAAAGTTTGCCTGATTTAATTTTAAAAAGAAAAAGAAAAAAAAGGAAGGCATGAGGGCAAAACAAAAATTTAGTCTTTTTGTTTTATTCTTTATTTTTCTTATCACACATGTTGACAGAGGTGGGGGACAGTTTATCATTTCAGACAGCCAAATTTTACAAATTAGACATTTTTCCAAAATTGTAATAATTTCAATAAAGGGAAAAAATGATAATGTAGCTTTTTGCCTCAATACTTTATTTATGGGAATTAATTTAAAATTGAACTTTTTCTGTTTGCCTACTTTAGTTTTTTTTTTTATTTTAAACATCATTTGGCATCTTTACTCATTCCAATCTGGCACCCCTTGCATGTGCATACACGCACCCAAATTAGTTTTACTCTTGTAAGAATTCAAGTGAGATAATTTTTTGTTCTTAAAAAATAACTTTAAACTAAAGTGATGCATAAACAAAAATAAATAAATATATATTTATCTTTGTTTTACTACAACATTCAGTCAGTTTGAGTTAAATATTTAATTTTGTTACAGTTGAGTAAACACTCACAAACCTTTCCCAAAAATTCAAAACCAATTTATTAGCTACTCTGTAAAAAAAAAAAAAGCAAAAAACATTTTGGTTGTAGAGATCTACTAAAAAAAAGGCATACTTCACCTGTATGTAAAACCAGAAGTCCGGACTGATAAATTTTTTTTTGTTTTTATTAAAAAAAAAATTTAAAAAAACTAACATGACATGGAAAAACAACAGACTGCTTTATACAAGCAGCCCATAAAATGTGCTTTTCTAAAAATTTTGTCATCATAGTGTTGAGCTTGTTAGGGTGTATACTATAAAGGACTATATTAAGTGTAAAAACCATTTAGCAAAAAAGTCTTCAAACAAACAACCAACTATGAAACAGACAAATATAGCAACTTTGGTGAAAAATAAAGAAATGATTTTAATATGTGCACAATGTGTGACATAACCAACAATAAAATTGACAAGATGAGGCCATTTTTGTTAAAGTATTGTAATGAAGATGGTGCTATTCCTAATGCTAAATGTATTAGGCAACTATATCTACCAAAATTGTTTGATAGTCATTTTGCTGCCCTAAAATCAAAAACAAGGAAAATCTTAAAAGTTTTTTTTATTAAGTTTTTCTAATGCCCTTACAATTTTCTTTTTGGAAGGACTAAGAGAGTGCAGAAACTATCCGAAATGGTTATTGTCCCAAACGCTTTCAACCAATTCATTAGCCATTTTCAAGGCGTCTGTTTTTAATATTCATGTTATAAGGTGTATTGTGCAGAAATAGTAGTTAGCTTAAGCTGTGTAAGAGAAAGCAGCCTTACTTTATGTTGGGAAGCATTTTCTTAGAAGACCAAAAACACATTCAAACTATTGTTAAATAAAGTAATATTAATGCTAATTACATAGGGTTCTCAGTCAGAAAGCATAAGCTGATACATACTCAAAAGGGCCAGGGATTAGACAGATACTAGACTCTGATCCTAGGTAAAGAAGCATAACAGTTGTACATGCAAACAAGCAGAATAATAATATACATTAAGTATTATTTTTTTGTGCTGATAAATTGATAATGAACAAGATTATCCTTGTTACCTTCTGGCAGGCTTAGTGCATGTCCAAGTTTCATGGTTTAGCTAAGACTGTCACAGTAGAAGTGCAAACTAGCATAATTTGTTTTCTTTCGTGTCAGCTTAAGGGATATTGGAGCATGAAATCACTATTACCCTAAAAACTAAGCCTATATTCAAAATTGAAAACTGTCCAGATTTGAGGTTTGGAAATGATGGCAAGCCTATCTTAATAATACAAGCAGAATTGAGACACATGGCTGTTTTTGTAGGTCTGGGATGTTTTTATTAATTAAATAGATGAGGAATTAGATACATACCTTAGCAACCAATCTACATCCATCATTATCAAGAATAACAATGGCTTTGATTGTGTGCAAAGTAGGTTCCTGGAAAGAAAAGAAAATTAACATTTTGGTAAAAAATTTAAATACATTCATTTTATAACACTTTCCCAATGTTCAAATATGTATGTTTTTTCTTATTTCAAAGTATAAAAACGTTTTATTTATACACACACACAAAGTAATTTTATGTTCGAAACTGGTAGGGTCCTGAATGTTTACAAAAAAATGATTCAGGAAATATAGAAGTTCCATCAAAGATTCACTAAAAAATGAGCAGACATAATGAAAAAATGTCCCAAACTTAATAAAAACAAAGTTTTATTGTCAAAATCTTCATGTTGTTATTAAATGGAAAGACTAAAGGATTTAAATTTTTTTCCAATCAATTTAAATTCGTTTTCAAGTACAGCAAAAAATGTATTTTGCTTATTGGAAATATTAAATTTAAAATTGATCTATTAGCTTGAAATTAAGACTAAAATAAAAGTTTCAAGAAAGATTTTTTCAGTTTTAAAAATTAATTTTTCAAACCTTACGTATCACGTTTGTTGGAGGGACCTTCCATTTGTGTCCGAAACGTTCTTCCCCAGAACCAAATACAAAATTATCTCCCTTAAATTACTTAACCTAACCTCATATTCTGAGCACGCATTTTTAATTTAACTTTTACCGATAAGAATGTGTAAAAGGAAAATAAATCATTATATATAAAAATGGTGAAACACTTCTTTTTGTATATTATAATAAAGTATCTTGTATTAACACTAAAACGAGAAAATATCGTCCAAAAAGTAATTTATTTTTATTTCATTTCAAATAATGTCAATTTTTAGCTCCGATGATGCACGATGTGTTTTATTTACAATCTATTCTAATGAAAGTCCGTTAGCGTGTTTCATAAGCTCTAATAAACCGGCATTATTACCTACGATACTGTTTGTAAACAGAGTATTATTACTGAAACGAAAAATTACGATAGGGATGTACTATGGTGCTAAAAAGAAACTATCAAAGTTACCCGATATTAAATTACCGCAAACTGTTTTTTAAAATGATTTAAATAGGATATGAACAGTTTATAGATTTTAGTTGAAGTTCTGGAAATAGATTAAAAAAACTGAGGCGTTACAATGGTTACACCAAATGAAAACTTGATTTTTAGTGAAATTGTAAATAAAAACATAGGTAGTCACTTATTTTACGTGTCAAAAAAAGGATGGCTATTAAAAAAAGTCAGAAGTCAGTTGTTTTTATAGAAGTATAAGCCAAAACACAGAAACATTTTTATATAAATAATCGGCATATGGAACAAATGAATCAAGAAAATTAAACCAGACATAGTGAATATTTTATTATAAAAAGATAAGAATCACTCACCAATATCGTTGAGTCCACCATGTTGACTTGACGTGGAATTAATGACGGCAGCAGAGCAGAAAATATTTTAGTGAGATGTCTTTCTTTACAAATTTTCTGAAACTATTCAAATTCCTGAAATCGAAAAAATAAATGATTATTTATGATTGATAAAATTTATTTTTAATTGGAAAAAAAAAAAAATTAACCGAGTCAATCATTGTTAACTTCCGTTCGGTTACGTTTTTCCACGATTCCGGATGACGGGTTTGATAATTTCTGATTTAGGTTTTTTTTAGATTCAGAAGTGCGTATTGTGGCCTTCAACAATTAACTCGATCATTAAAAAAGAAAAACAGAAGTGAAAGAATATATGTCAACTAATAACTACAAAGAAAAAAGGAGCCTTTAAAAAATGATTAGAGACGTTTTCTTTTAAAAAAAACATCATTCAGTTTAAAAAGGATTTTTAAAAATATTTTTTAAATAATTTTCTAAATATAGAATTAAATTAAAAAAATATCATTGAATGTTCGGCAATTACTTTGTTAATTAATTTCAAAATAAAACTAAAAAAACTGTTACGAGTTGCACAAATAATTTTTTTATAATTATCAAAAATTAAAATCGGTCAAACAATAAGCTGCTCATCTTAGAATTGTTAACTATATTTGAAGTCAGTCATGACATTTTTAATCTGTTTAAATCGGTTTTTATTCAAATAAAAATAAATGCTCTGATTATCTCCCTTGCCTTATAAAAAAATCTAACATCAAATTTGCGTGTGGGTGTGTCCAAAATTATTAGAAGGGCGTGAAAAAAGCATCGATCATTTGGCTTAAAAGTGGCTGACGTTGCTCATTCCTGCAAAAATGAATCTAGATTTATATGGATTGAAAGGAGAAAGAACGATGAATTAAAAGTTTTAAATCTTTTTCACTTTTTTTGGAGAGCCGAAATCGAATTCCAGCCTGGTTCATTATATTCACTTACATGCAAATACCCTATAAAAGGTTATGAATCCACATCTTCTCCAACTAACTATGGGTTAAACTTGAATCAGAAAATCCTTATCATCCCCAAAACTTTATTAATAGATAGGTTCACCTATCGTCTGGTCCACACTCACCGGTCTTTTAAACAGGAAAAAGTTTATCCCATGTTTCTTGTTTAGGGCTGGGTTTCCAACTCCTTCTAAAAGTAACGCTTCAGCTCTACTCATATAATGTGAGTCCATTCCTAATATAACTCCAGTAACCCTCTACCTTGAGTATCTCTTTGGCCTTATATTGGGTGAATTTTAATAAGAAAAATAACCAGAAATATGTTTTGGCTTTTCTTTTAACCTCAAAAATGTTGATAAACTGTAAAAAACAAATCAATAAAAAAAAAGTCAACTGAAGAATTAAAAAAAAGTGTGTCCTAAAAGTAAACTTGTAGATTATGTATTTAATGAAGAAAAATGAGATATAGAGTGGATCTTGTCTGATAATGGGAGTTTGTGGGGTTCAGCGTACCCGGATTAAAGGAGAATTTAATACGGGATACCCTGCCCACAAAACGATAAAGAACGTTTATAAAAAATAGAACATTGTATATTTATTATCTTGTGAATAGGGTAAAAAAAGATTAATGTTTTAGTTCATTTAAGCAAAAATGTGATTTTGATAAAAATGTCTGTGTTCACTGTCTTTTAACAGAGTAGCAGAATAATGTCTGTTTCTTTTGTTTTTGTATAGGTGTAAAATGAAAAAGGGCGAGCAATTTAAGTTAAAAAAAAAGAGTGTGAATGTGGAATAAAGATGAAAGGAAAATGTACTTGTGAATTGTTTTGAAGTCAGTTGTAAATTTGTTGTTGTTGTTCCTTCCTAATCCACTTTTCTTAGTGGGGTTGAGTCAGTGATGAATTTTACTGTCAATCTTCTGTGATCTTTTGCGCCCTTCTGACTGACTGGCGACTGACTTGAAAACTCTGTATTTATTGTTGACTTTTTTTTTACACTTGCTCGTTATCTTTTTTTTTTTTTTTTTAGCAAATCGCCCCCTTTCATTGGTCAGAAAATTAATTTCACACCTTATTGTGAAATCTGTTTTTAATCGTTTTGATCCGATTTTGCGGGTGTGCAAATCTACTTTGTGTTTTTTTTTAGTCATTTGTTGGAATATAGGATTTGTATCCTATAAGTTCAAAAAGTTATCTTCATATGGAAAGCCAATATGCATTCTAATTTTTTGGAGAAAAATTGTCCATTTCCACGGCCATTCTCACAGTGGTGTTGGATTACTCTGTTGTTGGTGCAATGAGCAGTTGGAACTGAGAACAGTCATTTGGTCACCCCATGAAAGGGTCTTGAAGAGAAAAAAATGATCGATCTGTGTCCGAAACCAGAATACAGGGAAATGGATAGCGGCTTGAATTGAAAAATACTATACTTTGATCCCAGTCAGAAGAATCCATTCCATTCAGTTACGTGCCCACCACCCTTGGGAAAGGTAGGATCCTCAAAAAAAAGATTTAATGTGGTGGGTCCATAGCAGTATCTACTGGGTTCTAAGGCCTTGGATAACCCTGGTCCCATATCCAAAACTCTGAATCCATCAACACTTTTGTCTTAGTGCAATAATGGAGATGCTGCTGCAAGGTTGGAATTTAGTGATGGTTATCTCTCAAAATTTTAAGAAAGGACAATTAAGCATCAATTTGATCCCAACCAAATGCTATCTGCTACCCTACACATATCAAAGTTGGTTTCTGAGTTCAATCTGATATATCCATAAGATGGTAAAATTGCAAAAAATTTATTATTTGCCCTTACAACTATAATCAAAAAAAAAGTTTGTGTTCTCTAATTGTATAAAATTCTATGTACAACAGGTTAAAAAAATAATAAATTTTCATGATTTTGTGAATATGATACATTTTCTTATTCTGATTTTTTTTTATCTCGGATAACTTCTTATAATTTTCAATGTTTTTTGTGGTTTGTTTTGTTTTTGGTTTGGTTTGTTAGTATTTTCAAGGCATGCCTAATCAATAGGTTATTTAATGCCTGAAAAGATTTTAATTGCTGGTAATATTTTTTTCACATTTTTTCAAAAATCTATTTTTGGTAATTTTTTTTTCCTTTGAACTTATATAAAAATGGTAATATTTTTTTTCTCAAAAATGTATTTGGTAATATTTTTTTAAAATTTAGTTGTTGGTAATATTTTTTTTCAAAAATATTGCTGGTTTTTATTTTTTTTTTTAAATTGGTAAATTTAAACATTGATTGTAATTTTTTTTTTTTTGTATTCCAAACATAAAAATTCTTTTCTTAAACAATCTCATAGTTAACTATTTGCCCAGTTCTCAAGAACTAACAGGTGCTACCACCCCGGGTCAAAATGGACCTGGAACACCAAAATTAAGAGGTGGTTTTTCTCAACCTCCTGATCAGAGGCCTTGCTGCTAAACGTATTTATCATCTTACCCAGGACATGGATGTAGTTTATTAGTCATACCAGAATGGTGGTTCAGACTGTTAGAAAAATCTTCATCTTCATTTACCATATCATTATTTTGAACTAGTATCCTTATCTTTGGTGATTTTTATTTCAAACCAAACTTTTATTTCAAATTTTTTTAGTTCCACATGAAATTTCTGAGATATACTTATATTATAATAAAAAAAGTAGATAAAAATGGATTTGGTATGAGAATACAAAAAAAAATTAAATTGAATATTGAACTAATTAAATCTTATACAAAATCAATGTTTTCAGAATTGGTTTGATCCACCAAAAATAAGATGAAGATTGGTAACAGTTCTGAATAATTTAAAAATAAATATACCATTAAATTTCTGTTTTATTTAAAATATTTTTAAATGACTTTGGTTTTATGGAACATTTATTAAACAATTTGAATTTTCATCATGTTGTAAATATCTTTTAATTATTATAAATAAATTTTGGATTGTATAAATTTTTAAAAAAAATAATAGTTATAATGATGAAAATCCTTATTATTATTACCCAAAGCTAATAGAGAGACATATGTCCTCTCCTTTAGAATGTTAATGTGACTTACCAGAATTGGTCTGTTGTTGACACAGATAACAGGTATCCATTTTGATCAGAACAGATCTGTGATTCCCCTTTGTCTCCATATGGTCCTTTAAGCCCAGGTTATGTTCCAGGTCCTTTGTGAGCATCTTTCCTCTATAAAAATCCCTTGTCTGTACATGAATAGCTGTGTTTCTAAATACATTTTGTAAATTTTTAATTACTTTAATTTAACTTCTGTTATTTTTTTTTTTTTTGTGGTAAATTCATTTATACTGTTCATCCTTATTTTTTAGTTTTTTATATATTATACAATATATATATATATATATATATATATATATATATATATATATATATATATAAAAATATATATATATATTTGAAAATATAATAGCATATATAAGTGTTTATAAAAAAATTTTTCTGCTTTTAATACAATATTCTTCCTTTATTCAACATAACAAAATGAGGTTTTGAAAAGGCCAACATTCCATTTCAATATCTTATCCAGTCCTTTTTTAATGTGAATTAAATTTAATCTTTTATTTTTTTTTTTATTTTTTCTTTTCAGATTTAACAACTTAAATCTTTGGCAAAACAACAATGGAAACATTAACAATCAAACAATGTTCAATCAAATTTCAAAATTATATTTCTCAAATTGTTTAAAAAATTCAAACAAACTAATTTTCAACTTTTGATAGATGTGGCTGTAGCCAACGTATTTCCATTTTGAAATCAGGCCAATATGAAAAATATTACTGCAGTGCAAAATTTAATAAAGGGAAAAAAATAATACACCTCTATTCATCATCACATTCACACAAGAATTGAACCTCTTATTTTGGCAATGTTACATCATTTTAATTGTACTTTTAAAATTTTTGTTTATAACTAACCAAAAAAAAAAAATAAATTGGGAAAAATTTCTATTTGAAAATCCATTTTTGTTAATATTTAAAAACTAAGTAGCATGTTGTTTGATTGTTAAT